TGCAAACGTACATCCGTGATGAAGGCATCGGGACAGAGTGCCTCCCCACTCAACCAGCTGTTGTCGCACTTTGACTGCAGACTGCATGTGTCACCTGTGGTCGCACCGTCAGCGTGACACCATCCGCACCGGTACTTGTCAGGTCCGGCCAAGCAGTCACCACAATTGGGACGCTTCACCTCACACTTGTACAGGTTAACTGTGGACAAAAAAAAGCATGAAACATACTGATACTTGACAAGGACGTCAGCCGGTGTGTGCATGAGTTTGGGAAGTCAACGAAACGCATTCATACAGCAAAACAGTTGCTGTATCCAACAAATGTGAATGAGGAATAGAAATAGTGAAATACGGAAGTGAAAGAAGATTCACACTGCCAATTCTTAATCTCTTGAATGCCCCCATTTTCAAAGCAGCTCCATTAGATGTAATCTGGAAAAACCATTGGGAAGTTGACGAATGTGATTTTTTTCTTATGTGAATTGTTTGAAACCTGATGTTCCTTTTTACAGAACTCGCTCTTACAAACGGTCTAACTTCATAACATCTAGAGGTTAATCTTAACTTTATGATGGTAAAATCAGGGGTGACTTTCGCAGAGTGTAAAGGGTTTCCTCTGACTGCATCACAAACAGGTAGGCAGTGTTGAAGCACGGAGGAGGGACACAGAAGGAGTTGGAACTGCCCGGGCTATAACATCTGGCCAATTACCACTCTCTGACATGCCTGGTATGTCAATAGCCAGAGCGCTGCGAGCACTTGCCATGCACCATCTGTTTCACAACCACGAAACCCCTTTGTACCCTATGATTGCTGCTGTGATTTTTCGCTGGTTATCTGCATCCTTAAAACTTTGTGTACTGAAGTATAGGGAATTGAATATTCATTCTTTGTTGGTACTTGGTATGATCTCGTAACAACATCAAGTTTAATGCTTGTGCAGTTGCTTGTGTTAGGCCATGTACCCTAAACATTTATGGGCAGTCATTGCCCTTAATGAATGCTTTTTACTGCAGTTATTTTGGGAATAAATAGCGAAGTTGTTTTTAAGATTGTTTTTATTACAGCGCTAATACAAAAGTGAATTTTACAAGATCTCATGATCACTCCTTGTGATGAAATAGTGCAGGTTGCTTTATGAACTTAACTTTCCAGTGGTGGTCAACGTGTTGTTGGCCAGTGTCAGCCAAATTCTTACCAAGTCTTTGAAAACTGATGTTTTGGACGGAGGAGAATAAAATTACAAACTACAAAAAAGTTTATTCGCGATGGCAAAAGAAGGTCTAAAGTCTATTTCCTGCTTGCGGCAATAAGTTGCAGTTAATTGCAAGCAAAACACAAGTATCCCTAGGATATTACTGGTCACACTCGTCTGACTAAGCTGCAGGCAGCAATCAGGCATTTTTGGAATGTTTCCTATTTATTGTCAGACTGGGCTGCGACAATCACCGAGCGCTTAGAGGCAAACACAAACCACAGTGCAAAAACGTGTTCAGTGGCTACTGCCAATGTGACATCGAGGCATGTTGGAATTTATAGCCTTCTCTTTCGATAGCTTCTCACTCTGACCAAAAAAGAAAAACACTAAAAAAATGACTGTTCTCAAGAGTGGCAATAACAAACCGTCAGATGCATCTCATGTCCAACATCGGAGCCCCAGAAAAATTAACACAATTACTGGACAGGAAATTAAGAAAGAGGAGGGGGAAGTGACATGGAAAGGTCACATCCCCCGATCCGTCAGGACACGGGCCGAGACCCCCTCTTCCCCCTTTCACAGCACCTAGTGTGGGTCGGTCTCAGTCAGTGGTACTTAGCTACCCAGGGAAAACACTACCAAAGGCTACAAATTGGGACCTCAAAACTAACATTCATTTTGGCAAGCTATTTCTTTTGAACTCTTTGATATTTCCTGCTAAAATATCCTAATGGGGAATTTCCTAGAGCAGCAGCAGCGGTAGGAATTAATCACTGTCTGGTGGGGTACCCTGCTCGACCTTTGCTGAACAAATAAAGATACACGCACAAACAGGAGGAAAAGATGCTCAACCCAAGATACAAAAACACCATGCTACTTCCTTGAAAAAAACAAACAAAAAACTGGTTTTGTTTAAAACATTCAGTATTTTGCCAGACTGCTGATGCCTGTCACAATTTCTGCTTGTCCAAACTTTCCATATGCCTCATACATCCAATCACAGATGTTTCTCTACTCCAAACTTGCTGTAAACAATCTGCAAAGTGATCTTAACACAACTTTGACACGTGTACCTGTCTAGAGAGAAAATGGTTATGATTTTTCCACCAAGGCCAATGTAGGAAATGAGCATCCCACACTGACCAAACATGTATTTTGACAGTCCATGGGAACGTTCTCTCTCCGTGAGAACACAAACGAAAACGTCTGTTCCGGATTCGGTGCGGCTATTTATGAACCCACAGCGAGGAAGTGGTGACCTTTTCGGCAGCTGGTTTGATGCTGGCAGTCAAGCAACATGTCTAACTGCCAAGGAGCTCTGCGTGTTAGCACCTTCAACTTCCTCCCGGCCTACTCGAGGAATCCTGCTCCGTTAGCCAAGATCACCCTTAGGTCAAAGGGTACTCTAGGGTGCCCTTTTACTTTGATTTGACTCATTCATAGAAGGAATGAGTTGACTTTCAAATTTGTTTGAATATGAATGCAGCTTTCTTTTTTACACTGATTTGCAGTTTACTTCACTACTATGTTGATAACACTATCACGCAGCAATTGATATACTGAAGCAAAATATCTGACATTTCTAAGGATGTTACAGGTTTCACCTTTTGACATGCTGTTTTAGTGCTGAAAGGAGCTCATTCGAGGAAATTTTTACAGCTGTAAAACGTAAAGTACTCTCAGTACACAAATGGGTCTCATGAAAAACAGATGACAAGACCAAAAACATCCACAAGACAATGTCCAGATTAAACAGTCAGTTGGTCACAACTTCTTTCAGTTAAACTTTCTCTGTGGTCTGGGCAGCTTGGGGGGAGCAATGACCTTGGTGACTGAGGAGGGTAAAGGTCGCTGCACTGACCTCATTAGTACCCACAATTTATGGCACACATAGGAATGACAAACCCTACCCAAAAAGAGACCTCACCCAGCGAACACCATATAAATCACTTCAGCGGGCCAACTGGACTTAACAAGTGCAGTAGTGCACGTATATCAAATCAGTGTAAGGACACCATCAACACATTCCAGGCTGCGACTTGAGATTCTTCCACAATTCTTTGGGCCCCAATTCTGCAAATACCCGGTCTTTCTTGCCAGAACAACCACGATCGATCGTTGAACACATGGCTGTGCAGTGTCCATATCTAATTGCTACTTCACTTTTGAGGTTGCGCAGTCACAAATTAGTAGAACTCAAGTAAATCTAATTCTCTCCAATTCAGTGTGACGAAGCGTACTTCCGACTTGCGCAAGTGAATGCTTAATCAAATCCTTTTTCTTTTTTTCCTCTACATGTGCTCAACAGCTTTCTTTGATCATCTCTCCTCCCCCCAACTTTTCTTCCAAGAAGAGCAAATGGTACATGTTCTGCTCTGCCAAGGACCACTGGGAATCACATCCAGAGAGTGAATCGGGCTCATGACAGAAATGAGCTGGCCTGAAGTAACGGTATATTCCACCTCTGGCGAGAAAGGTCGACGGTGAAGTTGCTAAATTAGGCATTTCGAAAAGTTGGGATCGTGAGTCACTACAGCCGGGCGATTTTCACTGCCATGAAGCTATTGAGGTTGTGGTTCGGTGACTGCCAACTATTACTGATGACTGTGTCTGGACAAGAAAAAACCAGCTTGTTCTTGCCAAACTAGCAAGCCCCCCCTCCTCTTGGGGGAGGGGAACTTATCTTTGATGAATTGTTAATGTGCCAGTGACAAAAAACTCATGAAAATGAAGATTAATTTCAACGTCCAAAATCAGTTTCCATTATTGAAAGGTAAAATGAAAGCCATCACGGTAGAAAGGAATACACCATAAGGTGGTTTTTAGAACTTTGAACTGACCAGCAGAAAATGTAATTCTACTTCCGGCAAGGGGGAAAAATATCTGTTCCAATTTTGGCAAGGGAGAAATATTAAAAAGCTGTTTTTGTTAGTAAGCCTTTTGCGAGTTAAATTTGAATAAAATCTGGTACAATGAATTCACGTGAACATAATTTGATTTCTCCATACTAAAACCACTGTTGCTATACCTCTTGATTTTGTGCAAGCTGTTGCTTAGTTACATAAGAGATACCTTTCACCAATACACTTTTCTCAATAGATAAGGAAGGTACAAAGGAACCAGTCCATTCCAGAGATGGTGGTCGCTATGCGAAAGCTCGCGGTGAATCATGAAGTAAACCAAATTCAAACTGTTACGTTTATGCGCAATCATATAACTTAGTGTACCAGAGTTTATTCAAATTTATCTCACAAATGGCTTTATTATCTTCTTGCAAGTTACAACTCCAGTGAAATGAGGGACAAAAGCTAACACTGACCTGGCTCAAAAATTGAGAAGAAAAGGGTTAGACAGAGAGAGAGAGAGACACACACACACAAAAAGATAATCGATTATGAAGAAAATGCAGTCAGAATATGCACATGAACTGCATGAAATACACACTTTCTCTTCAGATGTATTGGCTACCAGCCAGCAATGCAATTAAACAGGCCATCACGAAACCCAAGTGGCCAGTTTGAATTATCTTTTCACATAAGTTTATCGCAAATTTCAGTTACCACTTTGCAGACTTCTACACGACACAACGCCAAACTTTCAACTTGGGCCCCCATTTCAAACAATTCCCGCCGAATGATCAAACCAAACAGATCTGTGCTGTGCCGAAAAACGTGGATGGCAGGGGATCCATAAAATTAACGGCAGTCTCGTTTCATCAATGATTGATCTATCACGCCCATCGGAGACCCAACAGGCATTCAGCTTGCCTTGGCGCGCCAAACGTTATGATTGAGCGTCGGAAGTGACACAATACCAGGTATCCGAAGACGGCTTCCCACTCAGGTGCCACAATCCAATCCAGTCCTTCTGGCGGCCTAACTACAAACAGATTCCTCCCCTGAGCGTTGATCACTCTCTTCTCTCTTACCCCTCCTATCTACCCCCCTCTTGGAAATGAGAACCAGCTGCATGACATTTTCGGGGCCAAGATCATTCACATCACGTGGCCTGTCAACGGGCCTGCACATCCCTGCTACGGCAGAGGGATTTATTACGGTCAGTGGAGCCAGTCACAAGGACCAGACCTGTGTCAAGTCAATGTCTTTTTGGAATGTCAGTCACACCATCGTCTCTCCGGCACACAGCCTGGTTGGAAATTCCACTTCAGAGAGTCACCTATTTCCCGTCTTTCCGCAATTGTCCATAATTAATACCTTTTTCTATTAATACATCTCAAGTGATGAAATGTGGTCCCTGGAAAGTTCATTTTGTAAGTGAAGTAACACTGGGCTGAGGATATTATGAATGCAGTGAATGGAGTATCAGTTTGCCATGTGGGACAAAAATCTAACCAGAACTAGGTTACACAAATTATTAATAGGGTCATTGTTTCAGCACCAATACCAACAAAGAACTGTCGTTGTTTTAATTAATGACAGGCCTTGAATACATTAAGTCCTACATGCAGATACAAATACAGCTTTGGTGGCCGTAATACTAGAGGTCAGTACTCACCAGCGAGGTCATCAGGATTGTCAATTTTGTAGTTGTCATTCCACTCCACTGTTAGAACCACTGGCAAATCATTGACATCCGAGGTGTATTGATACTGCAAAAATCCCAAACAAAGATTTCATTACTTTAACAATTTTAAAAGAAATTTAAACACTCGATCCTTTCCAATGGGCCGCCAAGCAAGGGAAGATACTGGTTAGAAGCATTTACTTGATAATTACACATGCAAAAAGGTTTAAGCAGTACCTGCTGTTCCAATTGTTTGGAGGGGTTCATAATAAACCGATTTAACTTGATTCAAATAGATGTCATCTTCTCCTTTCTACTTCTGCATTTAAATAACTGAGTCAATTTGTTTGGCAGGTACACTGTAGATGTGTAGACCAACAATGCAGGTTGGAAGATGCAC